AGGTCACTACCTCTGGACAACATTCAACAAAGCTACTCTAGTACTGGAGGTATACCTGCAACAGTTCTGGGGCTGCATGAGCACACCATCAAAGAAAGACAAGTCAAAGAGCATGACCAAGCTAAACGATAAGAGGGTGGTGCTGACACCCTCTACACTGAGAGAGAATCTAGGGCTGTCAGTGTTTCACAACTATGCACCGCTCCCGACAAATGAGCAACTGATAGAAGGGATGTTGAAGTTAGTCTATGATGCTCCGCTACCCCCGATCTCAAACTTCTGCATCGCCTACCTGCCCCACCCATTGAAGAGTCTGTTCGGGTTGGTGAACAAGTGTTAATCACCAAAGCACGCCGATCACGACAAGTGCAACAAACATATTCTCCAAATCTTCAATGGGATTGCCTTTGATATCGAATATGACATGGCACAACTCTTCTGGACGGAGCTGATGGATCAAGGGCAAAGGAAAATGGCAAGAGGGGACAAACTATTCCCTACGCTCGGTGGTTGGCCATTCTCATCAACAACATTATGATGGCAACCCCGATGATGCCGAAGCGTAGCAATGAACGAAACTTTGTAGCTCCCAAGCTCAGATTTTTCCAAAAGGATAGCTCAACTTCTCGTGCAATGCTGATCCCAGAGTCACTACTCAGGCTTGCAAATCAAAAGGATTAGGCAGTCACTCAGTACAAAGAGAAGCTCAACATAACATTCACGATGGTTCAGCAAAACCCAGCTGGACCTTCCCAAGGGACTCAACCGAGAGTTAGTAGGGTAAGAAGAGATTTAGCCCGCCACAGAAGCCAGTGACAAGCCGACCTGATGATGATCAGTATGACGACTCTTCCGAGAGAACTCAAACTGCTGAGGGCCACTCCCATAATGCTGAGGACGCCGCCAATGAACCGTCAAGTCCACCCACCAACACAAATAAGGGTGGCGATGAGGCATCCGATAGCAAGACTGAGAAGAGCAGAAATGATGATGATGATGATGAGGATGATGATGATGATGCAACTGCAGCTCTGATCAAGAACACCAAACGAGTCGGAAAGAAACTCATCCTTGTCAACTCAGATGTACAAGCTGATTATGATGAGGAGGATCACTCACGTAAAACCGCAAAGGGCATCATTATGATGAGGAGGATTCACTGCATACTATACAGGTGCACACACCCTGAATGCAACGACCGGAGTGCAAACGATGACGGTCGGAAGCCCGGCTACGCACACAATGATTCCATCATTGAACGCAGGCCACACATCAGCAATCTTTACTGATGTTGTGATAACAGTTACGAACCCTCAGGGGCGGATCCAGGAATCTGAGATGTCCTGGGATGAATAGGAATTAGATTAGGCTTAAATATTAGCAGGGTGGGCTAAATGTGAAACCAAAAAAAAGTACACTAAAAAATTGAAAAAAAAAAAATCTAAGTTGCCCTAGGATTTAGCCCACCGTAACTGATACACCTATCTCTGAAGAACTAGCCGTTGTTCTGAATCGCTTTCTAGAGTCCATCATTATGCCACGAGTGCACGAAGCAATAGCCGCTCGGGCACAAGACTTTAGATCTACCCCAGTGGTTCAGAATGAACAAACCCAACCCGAACCTCAACCAACACACATTTCTACCCAACCAAAACAAACTCCAACCATATCCATACCGATCTCTCAACCATTAACCCTACTACCCTAAACACCTACCACCTCAAGGGGAACCCAAGATACAGAACAAGTATCCTCTCCTAAATCGACCGTACCCTACCCTAACCCATCGACCATGCCTTTTGAGGACCTTGCGCCTGTCATGTTTGACAGTATCCTAGAGACAGAAGAAGGCAACCGAACAGACCTCCAAAAAGCCCTTCTTCGTGCTCCAGATACATAAAGCACATGCCGTGAGAGTCTTCGCAACAGCAAACGTTCCCATGAGGATCTCGATGACTCGAATCCTCATGAGGGGGAGAACAAGCGACAATGGACGCTATACTTGAGCATGTTGCTTCTTCCAGCCATACCCAACCACAACCAAACCAACTCTCCTCCTCTACCAACAATCAACCAACCTCCTCTACCCGAAATAAGACCAAAGCCATTTTATCTAGTCCCGTCGAGCTAGACAGAACATTCCGAGGCACATCTCCTATAGAGGTTAACCAAGGAGAGAATGGAAGTCCTAATGTTGTTAACTCTGGTACATCATTTTACTCAGGCCATCAGTCAGAACCTAGTTCGAAGCTGATGAAAACGGGCAATCCTAATGATCCCGGAACCACTTCTAACAGGTCACCACAGCAGTAGCAAGCCCCTTCTAACCCTCTGTCAGAACGTATCCATGACAAACTTGAAGACATTCTCGTTCATAACAAATGGCCTCACCCGTGGACGGAGTGGGATGATCTTAGAATGGAAGCTGAACAATATGAGATGCAACGAAGCTACTACCTCAGAGACCTTCTTTCCAAATGCGCTGCGGATAATATACTTCTTGATGAAGATGAACTCAAAGAAGGGGAGAACTACAAAGAAACTTCGAAAGAGCTGGACTCAGTCATCAGACAAACAGCGACTCAGATTCCTAGAAATGAAAAGCCTTGGGAGAATATCAGAATCAATGCCCCCTTCCAAGAGGAAATTCGAATGCGAATATGGCGAAGACCAGAGAAACTAAAACAACTCGATGAGCTCAAAATGCGTGGCCTCAACCATCTAAGAGGAAAGAACAGAGGCGAACAACTGCATATGTTGAGCCACAGATCTATGGGAAAACAAAGAGAAGTTCTACAACACGATCTACAAACTGCCAAACATCCTGTTTGGAAAATCTAGATGTGGCTGAAGCTAATCAACATACTATAAAACTCTCTGTTTATCGCCTACAACGCTCTGACGGGACAGAATTCATCTGCCAAAAGAACGACTTCTTCATGCTGAAAATGGATGACATCTACCAGATGTTCATGGCCTACAGAGAACTTCCCGTCAGTAGCAGCCGAGTTGTACACGAAGGCTTCGATGCTATCAAGCGCTTCATGACCAGACAAGTCTGAGTTCATGTTGTCCATGATCTTCAAATGGCACTTGAAAACAACCTTCCGAAGGCCAATCTCACACAACCAAAGCTGTACGTACCGGAGCTTGAACAGTTTTCTGCATATCATATATTTGATGATCCGATCTCGATAATCTACTTGAATCACAATGAAGAGAAACATCCGATGGTTGTTGAAGAAATCAACAAATATTGTAATGGGACCTTGAAGATCATACAGGAGAAGCTGTAACCGCTGAATGAAGAAATTGAAAGAAGACTTGTTAATGCATCTGACGCTGAAATCGAAGAATGTGATAGAATCAACAGAATCCTTAAAGCTATTGAGAAATAACTTGACAAGAGAAGGTCACCCAGACAATATGAGCATGCACTTACTCTCATAAAGAATTATTACAAGACTCATAAGTGAAGAACAACAAGACAACACTTGATCACAAAGGGGGAGATTATTGAAGATTATTATTGTGAATCAAGTTTGTCTCATGTTTTGTTTTTAGTTAGCTTTATTTTAGCCTTTTTATGGTATATAATAAATTGTAATAACTAGTCTAGAATAGGAATTGAGACAAATATGTTAGGCCCATATTCCTAGGTTAGACCCTTTTTAGGGAAGCTGTACACCTGCGCCTATAAATACGCGCATAGGGTGTACAACGCCGAATAATCAACACATACTCTTTCACGCTCTTTCATTTTCCCTGTAGAAGTTTCTTGATATTAATAGAAAGGAGTATTCACTATTCGATATATCTTCCGATCATTGTCTGAATCTCTTCTTTTCTGGTTATCGATGAAATCCATTTTGTAGCTGATCGTTTATCACCAACATTTGGGACAAACATATTATATTATATTATATTATATTATATTATATTATATTATATTATATTATATTATATTATATTATATTATATTATATTATATTATATTATATTATATTATATTATATTATATTATATTATATTATATTGTATTATATTGTATTATATTGTATTATATTGTATTATATTGTATTATATTGTATTATATTGTATTATATTGTATTATATTGTATTATATTGTATTATATTGTATTATATTGTATTATATTGTATTATATTGTATTATATTGTATTATATTGTATTATATTGTATTATATTGTATTATATTGTATTATATTGTATTATATTGTATTATATTATATTATATTATATTATATTATATTATATTATATTATATTATATTATATTATATTATATTATATTATATTATATTATATTATATTATATTATATTATATTATATTATATTATATTATATTATATTATATTATATTATATTATATTATATTATATTATATTATATTATATTATATTATATTATATTATATTATATTATATTATATTATATTATATTATATTATATTATATTATATTATATTATATTATATTATATTATATTATATTATATTATATTATATTATATTATATTATATTATATTATATTATATTATATTATATTATATTATATTATATTATATTATATTTGTCTTGTAAAAACATACCTTTTGTTTTCTCAGCTTGGCTATCACTTCGATTTTAATTGAATGTTACCTTTCTTTATTACGATTTTGATTATTAGTTTTGTATTTCAGTTATGTTTGATTTTAATCTTTCAGTCTCTTTTCTTCAATTTTTGTATAGTTATTTATTAATGCTAAGACTTAAAGTATTTTTGACTTTACAGGAGTTAATTATTTAGGAATCGAATAATACCAAAGAATCATACGGCCGTGCCTAACCGGCTAACCGTACTGAATCGTATGGAAAATTGGTACAAAACGGCACAAGTTCTATATATATTCGGAACGACACTGACTCTTTAATTTTTAAACGAATCATACTTTGGGACGAGACGTGTTTGTCCAACTCCCTTTAACTTTTATAAGAGTAAGCAGAAAGACATATCCCTCCCATAAAATTCCAGGTCGATCATTCGTATGAGCATTTAGTTATCCTATACTACACGTTTCTCGTATCCGTGAAATGTAGCTAAGTTTACAACGACATCTCTCTCCCTAAAATTTGAAACCGTTTTTCTGCGGCCTTTTCTTTGTCTAGTCTGATCAGGAGACTCAATTCTATACAAATATATGCATTTTAGGCCCACACCAGAGGCGGAGGAACAGAGGCGGCGGCGGGGGAGCATATACCCGAACAATATCGACAGGACAATCTTCTAAGATATATCCAGCTGTATACGCGTGTGTATGTATCGCTTCAGCTGCTATACACTCTGGGGAGGAATCGGATTCTTTCTGGGATCAATCGAAGAGGAAGATGAAGTTTGGGGAAACTTTTACGGAGTACATTCACGAGGATGAAGGCCACAAGCTGTCCTATGTCGAATACAAAAGCCTCAAGAAGGTTCTTAAACGTTGCTCCACATGCAACACTTTGGAGGGATCCAATGAATGTTGCTCCAGTACGTTTTATTCATCTCAATTTTCAATTTTCTCTTTTATTTATTTTTAAAATCGTCATTGAACAGTTCGGATTAAAATTTAATTGCTATTTTTTGTTATTTCTGTTCGAAATTATAATAATCCGTATGCTGCAATGTCCCTAGAATCATAAAAAGTGTTAATAAATTACCTGTGAAATTATTTAGAGGATCTTCGGCTAACCTGTATATTAAGAGTTTTGGCTATTGAGACATTTTCCGAATTCTGTTTCTAATACAACCAGATAACCATTTCCCCCCTCTTTGGTGTGATTTTGGCTATTGAGATCTTTTCTGAATTCTGTTATTTCCATTCATTTATGTTTCACGTTAGTTGGGGTTTCTTTGCAGATATTGTAGCAAGAAGAAATTGACCTCCAAAGATTGATTTTTTTTAGGAGAAAACATTTTTTCCCAGATTATATGTTTTCCCCCCTCATTGTCAATTTCATACTATTCAGTACCACATGTGAAGAAATTGCCATCACTTTAGCCCATCACTATTTTATAATGCTCTCTGGCGATTGAATTGTCTAAGTTTAATTAACTGAGGGGCTGGATTGCATGAATTGACACCCAGATATCACACAACATTGAGCATTCTGTATCATTTATAGCATGAGTTCAGGTAGTAATCATCAATTTGTATTTTTTATGTAGTGTGTGATCAAACGTTCTTTCCTGAACTGAAGAAAGAGGCTTCTAACATTGCGGGGTGTTTTAGCTCTAGAGTAAGAAGACTTCTCAGACTCCACATGGCTCCTGGAGTGCAAAGATGTTTCATATCCTTACGTCACTGTTTCATTGATGATCAGCAAGCCATGGTCAGAGAGTGTTACATGCTAATGCAATATGCGGTAATGAATGCAATTGCTATGCGGAAAATACTTAAGAAGTATGACAAGGTATGGTATTGCTTGGATTTGTTGGTGTGTTTTCCTACACTCAAAGTTTCATACATCAGGAAGTTACCCACATATCAACAACCATAGCCTTATTGCATTGGTTTGTTTTAAGTTCTGATTCATGATCCTGTTCTTATATGTGGTTGGGCTTATTTAAATTTCAAACGATATAGCGGTCAGGTAACTCAGGTTATTAGAGGGGAACCTTGGTGCAAATGTGCAATGGGTAAAGTGGTGTTGTGTGACAGAAAGGTCACACGTTCAAGTCTTGGAAGCGGCCTCTTGTCAAAATGACAAGAGAAGGCTTGTCCCCCTATACACCCAACTGGTGGATCCTTCCCCCGCCTTGTGGGGATTACAATGTGCACTGTGCTGCCCCCTTTTAATGGTGGCCAGGTTATTGTCTATGCTGATGTTTTGTGTGGTTAGCATGTGATTACCTGTTAATGTGTCCCACATCGCAAATTTATCGGCACATCAAACACCATATAAGAGATGAATTTCCTAACTTTATTGTCTACTCCCTCTGTCCCGCTATGATTGTCCCATTTTACCTTTTTCGGTCCGTTCCACTAAGATTGTCTCATACCTTATTTGGTAAAGTTTGTGTGGTTCTAAATCATTCCTACTTTATTCTTACTTTATCAATTCAATATCAACCACATAAACTGATAAGAACAGAAAAATAAAATCAACGGTATGAACCGTTGCCCGATAATCAACGATAAATAAATACCGTTGCCCAAAGCCAAAAGGCTAAACCAACTTTTATTCCCAGACCATCAAGAATGAAGCATACAAGGGGTATAAATAACCCTCTAGGTATAATAAGAATAGGAATCCTAAATAAATTAATCTAGGAAACTAAATAGAATAGGAAACCTCTAGTTCTAATAGAACTCCTAATTAAATCATTTTAGGAAACTAAATAGAAATAGGAAACCTCTAATTCTAATAAGAATAGAAGTCCTAAATAAATCCTACTAGGAAACAAATTAAATTAGGAAACAAAATAAAAGGAATAATAAATATTAATTAAACAGCCCGCAACCAGCCCACGAAGGTGGGCTCAAGCCCGTCCCGCCTTCGGTAAACCCACGGGGGCTTCTGCTCCTCTTCTTCCAAGCCCAGATTCTGCTTCATATCAATTCCATCCCCCTTCGAAAAAACCTTGTCCTCAAGGTTGAAATCCGGAAATCGGCTGACATTTGTTCCCGGTGGCTGCCCAGTATCTTTAGGAAAAATTGAGATGTACTCCTCCACAGTCCCTGTTTGCTTGCCTCCGGACAGCCGTTCAAAGCAATTGCCCTGAAACTGTGAGTCAAAACGAGCCACCAATGCCTGTGTAAGCTCATCCCATGACATGCCCGGCTTTCGTGTCCGCATCGAGGTCAACCGGTATAGGGCTGACCCTTCCATCACAACTACAGTGGCTGCCGCCTTCTTTCCCGGCAAAACACAATTCAATTTGAACCGTTTCTCAGCCTTATCAACCCGGCTGATCGGTTCTACTTCGTTAAACGAGGGCAACGTTGTAAGAAAGGAGCTGCGTAGTCCAATTCCGAACGAGGATGCTGCTGCCGCGTCGAGTGAAGTCACCACCATTGAATGCTCAGCCGCTGGCGGTGCGAGAGTCTCTTTTAATGCAGCCAATGAAGAAGTGACGTTGTGCAGCTGTCCGTCGCCGCTGTGCGTAGATACGTTGGGGCTGCCAACCGTGTCCGAGCTTGTTTCCGTCGTGACTGATGGAACGAGCGCCTTGGTAAGCGCTGCCAGGGATGCGGCGATCTCTGCCAGACGCATGTTGTGCTCCTTTAGGGTTTGAGTTTGCTTGGCCAGCATCTCTGACAAACGTTCACCGATAGATCTCGTCATTCTGGCGGGACGGGATCCGGCAGGTCGGACCAATTGATAAGAACAGAAAAATAAAATCAACGGTATGAACCGTTGCCCGATAATCAACGATAAATAAATACCGTTGCCCAAAGCCAAAAGGCTAAACCAACTTTTATTCCCAAACCATCAAGAATGAAGCATACAAGGGGTATAAATAACCCTCTAGGTCTAATAAGAATAGCTGAATAGGAATCCTAAATAAATTAATCTAGGAAACTAAATAGAATAGGAAACCTCTAGTTCTAATAGAACTCCTAATTAAATCATTTTAGGAAACTAAATAGAAATAGGAAACCTCTAATTCTAATAAGAATAGAAGTCCTAAATAAATCCTACTAGGAAACAAATTAAATTAGGAAACAAAATAAAAGGAATAATAAATATTAATTAAACAGCCCGCAACCAGCCCACGAAGGTGGGCTCAAGCCCGTCCCGCCTTCGGTAAACCCACGGGGGCTTCTGCTCCTCTTCTTCCAAGCCCAGATTCTGCTTCATATCATAAACCCATTTTTATTAATAACCGTGCCACCTTCTCTTGTCCCAAACTTAGGGGGACGGAGGTAGTATGTTTTAACTCTTAAGACCTGTTTTCAGCCACCATACTATTCAGTCATTTTTAACTTTTCTGAGAAATAATTTCTTGTAGATTCATGGCTCTGTCAAGGGAAGAAAATTCAAATCGACAATAAGAGATGAACGCTTGGAGATTCTGCAATCACCATGGTTGATTGAGTTAGGAGCTTTCTATTTGAACTTTAATGCTTCAAATGGTGGGAGCTCCAAAGAGCTCTTCAGCTCTTTCTCATGTGATTTTGATGCTACTGACTTCTTACTCACGTTGAGACTTCCAGAATCCGTGAAGTTAGAGTACAGCCTAACATGTGCTGTTTGCCTGGTCAGTCATTTACTTTACTGGAAAGAAAATAAACTTTTTGATCTTCATGTTGACTTACTAAGTTCCTAATAGTAGTAACTTGGATTTGCCAAAAAAACTCCGTAGGATTTTGTGTTCAATCCTTATGCTTTAGGGTGTGGCCATCTGTTCTGTAAATCATGTGCATGCTCTGCAGCTTCTGTGATGATATGTGAGGGTCTGAAGGCTGCAAGTAAGGACTCAAAGTGTCCGATTTGCAGACAGGTTAGTATCTCTTTGGTATTTTGTTGCATTCTGAGCTTCTTCATGCTATGTATATTGGACATGAGACGGTACGAAATCTATTTACCTAAAGGCTAAAGCTATGTTTAGAACTGGGAAAATTATAAGGAAAGGAAAAGCACTAACGAAATTATGAAGGAAAATCAAGTTTGATTGAAACTTTCAAATTTCACATATATTTAGTTGGCGAAATTGGCACCAATAATCCATATTTTACAAAAATAATCCCTATTGGAAAAGTTCACAATAATAATCCCAACTAGTTAACTGTTTCCTGAAGCTAACGGTGTTAACTTTTTCGTTAATATTTTTTAAATTTTAAATATAATGAAGCAAAAATATATAAAAGCATTAACAATATTATATTTGAGTTTAATCTTACTTCAATTATAAATTTAATTTAATATTAAATATTTTTTCGTAAACTCAATAGAAATATTTTGAACACATACTCAACAAATTCTCTTTTATCTTTATTCTTTATCCATATTTTATTTATATTCATTTTTTCATTTTTCATAATAATAGAGAATTCAAAGAATTTTTAATAATACCATATTAAATATTATTACAAAGTATATGATGATTATTTTTATAAATTGTACGCAATATGTCTTAAAACTTGAACGGATGAGTACTAAATTATTATTATTGTAGAAGAAATATGGTTATATTCATGTTTATGAAACTTTATATATTCAAATAAAAGTAAATACGAATGTAACCATATTTTTCTGATAATTTAGTGTGTCATCCATTCAAATAATAGGAAATACGGAGTATCAATTTATAAAACTTGACTAAGTTAAAAGTAATTATCATATACGCCTTTGTATTACGGAGTAATATTTAATGCAAGTATTACTCAAACTACTATGAAATCTCTATTATAATGAAAAAATGAATATAAATAAAATATTGATAAGAAACAAGAGATAAAAGAGAATTTGATGAGTACATGTTTAAATATTTCAACTACGAAGTATATTTTAAGAAAAATAATGAGTATTAAATTTAATTTATATTAGAAATAAGTTTAAGTACAAATATCATTATTGTTAATACTTATACACATTTTTACTTCATTAAATTTAAAATGAAAAAAAAATATAACCAAAAAGTTAACACAGTTAACTCCCGGTTTATTTTTTTGAAACAATTAACTAGTTGGGATTATTGTTGTGAACTTTTCAGTGAAAACTAGGGATTATTTTTGTTAAATGTGTAAAAGTATGGATTATTGGTGTCAATTTCGCCTATTTAGATTTCCTAGTCTTTATGTGTTGAGATTGAACAAATTTTTAAAACTAGTTTTTCGCCAGAATGAAGCCCCCAGATATAGGGTATGTTTGGCACAACTAGCTGAAAAGATACTTTTGTGAGCTTTTTAGTAACTGTTAGCTTTAAGCGACTGAAAAAATCTTAAAAAGAAAAGGTGGTAGCGGTTTGATAATAAGTTGACTGTTTGATTTAGTTTTGTTTGGTATACAAGCTGTTAGGACTAATTAATAATAAAACACACAGGCTTTTCTCATATGCTACTCCCTGTAGCATCTAAAAAAAGATCTTTTAATTTTTTAAAAACTCTTAAAAATTGTCATGTCAAACATATAACTAGAAGCTTTTATAGACTTTTTAAATAGTACACAAGCTAGAAGACAGAGACTTATGTCCGCCAAACATGCATATATTCTTATAAATTTCCTATCTATTAGAAAGAATCTTTACAATTTAAAAACAAAGCAGAACTGAAATGTTATCTTTTTTACCCTTTACTAAAAGGAAAGCATTTGAAAGAGGTGAGACGACCAAGCAAACTAATAAAGCTAGAAGTTAAAATAAACAAAAGAAATATCGAACAATTGAAATAAATTACTGAATTAAAATATATAGCCAAATAGGATGCCTATTTTCTTTCCTGAAAAAACAAATGGAATAATGGACTCTTGTGAATATCCCGTGTAAATAACGGGGACAGAAATATAGTAGTAGTAGTAATAATAATAATAATAATAATAATAATAATAATAATAATAATAATAATAATATCTATACAAGAATACCCTTATCTGAAGGCTGGGTGAAGGCTGAGTGCTTTAGAAAATGGCACAGTACGGGTGAGTTTGATATCGTAGCTTTTTAGTCATTACACTTTTTCATCCCCAGAAGTTTGTTGGCTGAAATAAAAGTGCGGTCACTTGCTAGCTAAAATTGTAAACCAACTTTAACTTTAGAATATCATAGATATGCTTTCAGACTATACCAGACCAGGTTTAAACATATAAGACCAAACTTAAACATACCAGACCAGACTTAAATAGACAGAGTAGACTTTGGTAGTTGTAAAGTTATAAAGTACACATAGATTAGACATCTACCGGACTAGTTTATGCCATATTAGACCACACTTAAACAAACTAGACCAGAAAATTTCAGTTCAAATTAGAAAAAGAAATCTCACAACACCTCATTGCCAAACACCTGTGCAGTTTTAGCAGTTTATATCACATATAGATAACCAAAAGCGACATTTTTTAACTGCACTACTCAACACTTGCTATACACAGTTCATAACAGAAGTAGCAAAGTTGTAAACTTTTATTTTCACCGCCTTATATTTCTTGTAATTATTTCAGGAGGGCGTTTACACTGATGTAGTGCACATGATGGAATTAGATTTGCTCCTGAAAAGGAGGTGAGATTTGCAGCGATTATTTTATGCATATATGGACTGATCGTCCTCCCTACCCTTCTCTACTGTATCATATCTTCCAACGAAATATGATGATGATTCTGAACTATTTATTCTTTGCCATGGTTTTAGTTTTAGAAAGTCGTGGAAAGAAAGGTTGGTTTATGAACGTGCTGAGGCAGTGAAGCAGTCCAGGCTGTTTTGGGAATTGCAAACAAGATACATGGTTGGATATTAATGTCTTCGGTCACTGGGATATGATTTTTTTCCGTACAGAATTTTTAATAAATCCAACAAGTTTTTTCTTTTTCAATATTGGTTCTTGGTTATGCTGAAGTTTAAGCTACTGTGGTAATAACATATTGTGCAGTGACTGGGCTTTCTTTAATCTCCTAATGTTATACGTAGTATTCTTTTTAATCCGAAGTGTATGACCTGCATTGGTTTTGTATCTAATCATGGTGAGCGGTGATATCATAAACTTTTGACAGTGCACGTTTTACTTCGGCCCTAAAGGCTATGTTTTTGAGTTCCGGGCAAGGAGTGTGGAAGGGTATGAGTGGGAGGAAAGGGGAATGAACAGTGCCGAGCTGGGCCGGTCCAAAAATATTATTGGGAAAAAAATACATAAAACTTTTTACATTAAAAATATAAGCATTTTTTAAATTTGTGGTGGGTCGGAGCCTAGATTGACTCCCTAGCAACGAATGAATCTGAAAAGTGGAATCGAATGAAGGAATTTTATCAATAGAAGATCTTTAAGTTAGATTCATTACTAATAACTAATAGAGCTCTAGGATTGACAATGAGATCAAAAGAAGACGAATAGAGCTTGAAAACAGCGATCAACGTTCTGTCAATTGTTCAAGCATATCTCTTTGTAGAAACGTCAAATGTACATGGTTCAAGTTCCATATGCAAACTAATTTCAAGGGCTGCAAATCATATGAAGACACCATTGCGATAATCTAAGAGGAGCAAGGTGAAAACAGACGAGAAAGTCAGATAATCGCTGTTGAGATTTCAGGATGCGACCTTCCACCATTTTGTTCATATCTTTAGATTGGTTGATTCAAATCCAATTTTGTAAGTTGTGGTGGATACATGACTTCATTATCTACAAATTTCATGGAGGAAGAATTGTCCAATTCGGGAGGGAAGTGGGCATGCCGTGCGCCTGAAGTCAGGCACGTCGTGCCCGCTGAAGGAAACAACGTTGGAGCTACTGCCAGTCAGGCATGGTCGTGCCTGCCAGAGAGGCACACCATGCCTGACCCCGAGACGCGACTCTTCCGCAGGTACTGAGACTAGGCACGTCGTGCCTGCCCCGAAAAGTCCTAATTTGACCCGAATTTCCCCGTTTTCTATAAATAAGGCCCTTATTTCCCGTTTGAGGGTTACGGAGCTAAGAGAGAGGCCTAGGGACGAAATTTTAAGTATTTTTCCGCATTGTTCTTCAAGACCCTTGGATTATTTGTAAGTTCCATCTTTTTAATTAATGACGATTAATTCTTTTCATCCCAATTCTATTGATTCTTCAAGTATGAATTGTGAGTAGTTTTAATTAGGGATTTGAGATTGATGAAGAGGTTAATCATGATGTGTGGCTAGTTTCTTGATAATTGCATGGATGTCATTTAATTTGTGTTTGAATAAATTAATTGATATCTCTTGTAACCTAGAACTGCAACTAGAATTACAATTGCTTGTAAAATAAATTAAGAGATATCTAGTTTATTCTAAGCCACCTTCACACACACTTAATCGTTCGCTAAGAGATAAGTAGCGATTAAGGAGTCGTACGTTCGCTCGTCTTGACAATAATTTAGGATCCAGTCGCATGAGAGATCAGTCTGGTCCCCTAATTTATTGTACTCTACGCCGCGAGAGCGGTAAGAACTTAGGATTGATTTGCATTGCTCAATTAAATTAAGTTCATGTAATTAAATCTGATCTGCCAGAAATCTGGTTACCCCGGAATCAATCCATGTTCCCTTCATCATTAATTAGAGAGAAACCAAGTTTTTTAATCGTTTAATTGCGTTTTAATTTTCCAATCAATCAAATCTCGCACCATTGCATTTTTTTTATTATTTCTTTTTAATCGCTGAATTTAGTTAATTTTTAATTCCCTTTTGTCCGTCCCCGTGGAGATGATACTTGTACTTCAACCTTTTACTACAATCATTTTTAAGTGCGAGAAAACTCACATCAGTTTTTGGTGCCGTTGCCGGGGACGGTGTCAGTTTTAAGGGTTAATTAATTTCAACGAGATTATTTAGTTAGTTTTTTTAGTTCTTCGTATGATTTTTTTGTGCTCACCTTTCAGGTACTTCTTTTAAGAGGCATGTGATGAATTCATTCAGCTCGATGAAATATTCACCAAAGACGCCTTACCCTCCTTACACTCATCATCAATATTATTCTCCTCATCAAGATTACTCTCCTACAATGCAAAATATTCAGTCTTTTTATCCATATCCTCCAACCACACAACCCTTCCAATCTCAATATTCTCTTCATTATCCATCACCACAATACTCTTGGACAAAACAGGGCTCCATTCTTGAATATCTTCTCAAACTAAAACTCTTGAGGAAGTGTATCATATTCTGCCTAAGAATAACATTTGTTCCTTTTGTGCAGGATGTCACCATATAACTTTTTGCCCCGTTAAACCTCCAAATAACCATCCTTACTGGGCAACTGCATACCCCACTTCGTCCTCTTCACAATTTACAAACACAAATGTTTCAGTCACTCTTACATCCTTGCCGAGTAATGAGCCACATAATCAACTAGAGGAGGAAGCTTTAAAGAGGTTATCTGACTTGGAATAGACGCTCATACAGTTCATGCAGACCACTTCAGCCAGAATACAGAATCTAAGTAATATGGTGAGTCAGCTGGCAGAAGCCCAATCTGAGGAGTTCAAGATATCCAATCCTAGCGAAACTGAAATCAATCCAAGTGAACGCGTCGAGACAGTCACGCATACAAATGGGAAGCACCTTGAGGGAATGAGGGAGCTGATAACAATAAAGAAGTGTCTCTCCCCGTGAAAGAAGAACCATCATGTACATACTTTGATGTTCACTCGTGCATTGTCCTAGATCTGGATTTATTTGATTCACCGCTTAAGGATAACACTTCTTCTTTTATAAATAATGACAACATCATCTAAGAAGACATTGATAAGAACAATGTTAATGAGAGTTGGGATGCTCACAATGTGGAGTGATACAGAATCCAGAGGAGGTGTTTTGAATTTTCGTGATATTTATGAGGAAGAAAAAAACTTTTCTATGGTGCAGTTCGAGTACGGCGTTGCTCCAGAGCTTTTCTTTGAAACATCTTTTGAGTTTCCGGTGATGCCTAGAGAAATCAAAGTTTTGACTCATGTTTTATGTGGACTGAAAGAGGACGTGAGGTTCACCCTTCACTTCTGTGCTGACGAGGTTTATGAAGACCATGTATTGCCTACGTGGACTCGAGAGTTTAGAGGTCTGCGCCACTTAATGGCATTTGTGGAGCGAAAGATAGAAGCTTTAAAAATTAGTGCACTATTACAGTCTTTGCTATTTGAGAGCCTATGGAGTAGTTGCGTCGGGCAAATGACGTTAAAAATAACGCTTCTTGGGAGGCAACCCAAGTTTTTTTCTTCACGTTTTGTTTTAAGTTGTTTGCTATTCACAACCCCCCCCCCCCAAAAAAAAATGGGGGGGGGGGGGGTCTGTGTGTTTTTGTGCTTTGTTTTTGCAGCTCAGAGTGTTCTTTTGGGATGATGCGTCGCGGTTTACATTGACTCAGTTTCATTCTGCACCGAACAACACCCTTAGGGAAGTTTCCACGACCTTTCTACTTACTGGTTTTAATGTTGAGTTGAGCACACGTGACCCTTTCCTCTTTACCTCCTTGTGCATAGTGCATGTTTGGCCATCGAGGGCGATGCCAAAGTTTAAGTGTGGGGGAGTGAATTGGGCATTCAGACAGTAGTTGTTACATGAGATTATTAGAGTTAGCATTCGCAGGTGTTAGTTGTATATTCATAAGAAAGTCATGTCAAAATTTTTGAAAATTATTCTTTAAACTATGTCTTTGTGAGCTAGCTAGCGTTTTGACTATGCTTTAAAACATCTTTGAAATGTTTAGGCTTAAATTGCTGCACTATAATCTAGTTGTTAAGATGATGAAGGCATTAGTCACCCATTGAATTGATTAATTATCCACCCCACCTGAACAAGTCCTTTAGGAGAAGCCACTTTGAGTCTGACAATTCTGTTCTTTACCCATTAATTGAGCTCCATAGCCAAATGACATGTTTCCTTACCCGTGAATAATTCTGACAGAGTCTTGGTGTTTTGGGAACTAGGGGATTGATTTGCCAAGTTTATGGATTTTTTGGTAGGAGCTATTTCTGGCAATGTTCCTATGCCCAAATGGGGTAAGAGCAGTCACTTTTTAGGAATTTGATACTTTCGAGGATTGCATTGTAGGCATGAATTCACCCGTTTTAATGAACTTTAATTGTTAATTTTCCTTGGTGAGGCTGAGATTAGACTGAGGTAATGTCTAGTAAAAATCTTAAAATTGAAAAAATTAATATTAGCTAGACCTCTTACCTTGCGAAAAAGAGAATGGGAAACCCGTTTTTTTTAACCCGAAAGGTCAACCACCGCATCCAGTGGGGCAAATGCCGGGAGTCATTTGCCAGAGTTTTATTTGATAAAAATGGGGATTAGAGAAGAATGAGAGGAGGGCCAGACCAAAGCCTCTCAAAAACAACATTAAAAACCAAGCAAATAAACTGGGGCCAAAACCGACCCAAATTAAAAATACATCTATAAGAATCTAAAAGATGGCAAGCCATAGAAGTCCATGGAGAGAGCCCGTCTGACAGAAATAGCTAAATCATTTGGTCTGGTAAATATATTAAACTGGGTCGTTCCTTCCTTAGCCCAATTGGCCTCACGCAGTACATGTCCAAAACCGACATTCTTTCGTTTAGAAGCAAGTAAGGTTTCCTGAATTTCCTTCCTCCATCTGCGATTGCCCTTACCCAACAAAAACGAGATGGCTTCAAATGAGTCAGATTCCACCTGAAAGTTCTCAAAGCCAGCTTCCATAGCCCATCTCGTCGCAACCAGGATCGATCGAAGTTCAGCATCCAGCGGCGAGGTAGCCACCAGAGGGAAACTAAAACCGAAGACCATCCGGCCATTGTTATCTCTCATGAGTGCGCCTCCCCGAGCTTGACCAGGTATAAAAGATGCATCGACGTTTAGATTTAGTCCATATTTTGGTTTGGTCCATTTAACCAGTCTGAATTTTCTTCCTGTAAGTTTTATACATCTGGGAATCAAATTTTCTTCAAATAGAGCCTCTCCCAGTGTAGACGTTCCCAGGTTCTGCAAAATGTAGGTCCATTGCTGTGTATAGTGTTTAATTTGCATTGTAATAGAAGATGTTGTAGCTTGGCAATCT